GACAAGTCCGTGCTTGTCCCCTTCGCCGCCGCCGGTCCGCTCCGTCATTTAATGTACAATTAGTCTATCGTAACTTAGTACAGTACGTACTGTACTATGGGGCACTACTGTAGTCGGCACTGTCAGCCGACGGGGCTGACTGTATACGTGTTGTACACGTATAGTACATGTGGGGGCGCGTGCCCCCGTACACGTGTGGTACCGGCTGTCTGTAAGGTTCGTGCCTTACAGAGCCGGATCCAATTTCTAATCTAATTCTTTTGTAGTTATACTACACAGACGGGTTTGAAACATCATGCTCTGACATATGCGTTTCTAAGCGTAGAGTCTCAAGCATCCCTTGAACTTGTAGTTGACGAGCATCGCTGTTGCACTCGAGAGTCATCATGTGCGCCATCTCTTCGAAGCCCATAGTATCCGTAGCATTGTTAAAGAAGAATGTACGGGCTGGACCGGCAAGTACGTTAATGAAGAAATCGGCTTTCTGACGAGGCTTAAGACGATGCTGGCGAGCACAGACATTGTAGTCCCTGAGAGTCATTTCAATTGACTGTGACAAATCTCCAGTAAACTTGTTGTCCTTGGAATAGTGAAAGACATTCGTAGCCTGACGAGAGTCATTGAAATCGCCCTCATTCACATCTTCAGGATCGTCAGTTGACAACCAGCGAACCTCCGAACGACGAGGAGAATGTCTGATGCCTTGGTTCTCACGATTGAACGAGCCTGTACGTGTATCGGGATGGGCGGCATTTTCATTCTCCGGTGTAGCTATGTTGCCCGACGGAACGCCCTGCTCGGTTCGAGGATCATTCAAAGATGCACGGACAGACAGACGGCGGATCAAATCGGGGGAACCTCGAGTGGTTTTGAAACGATCAACGGCAGCGAAAATGGTTTCTCGATCACAGTCGATAAAGTCGGCGAACCAAACATGAATAGCCACATTCTTATTGCTTTTGTCATCGTCGGACAGATTCAGCATATCGAATATCGGCTCTTGTGGGCACACACAACCGTAAAAGGCGGCAACATTGTGAAGGGTGACCAGAGCGAAGAGAGGGGCGCGAAAGAGTCGATCAATGAATATATCAACGGGAGAGGGTAGAAGGTTCTGGATGTGTTCTTCTACTTCTTCAGCGCCAGGCATGGGGGAGGATGTCGACGAAGAGCTTATGATTGGATACATGTCCAGGACAGCCTTGGCAACAGCAACCAAATCCTTTAGAAAATCATCAGGAAGTCTCACGTTTTCGACACTCTTCTTGAGACGCTCGTAATGCGTCAGCAGCTGACCACGAGTTGTAGCACCAGAAATCATAGTTGATAAAACGGTCTAGAGCCTACAAAAGGTTCAGAATCCGGATTGTCGTTGAACGCGGTTCGTAGGCTCGCGCGAAGCTGCCCGTGAGCACAATCTAACGTGTGGCGGAGCCCGCGCGGGAAGGGTCGAAGACAGGAGGAGGAATAGGAAGGAAAGAGGGCGGGGGGCAGAAAGAAAGGCTAGGCGAAGCGCCTTAGCGAGCGAAGAAGACCAAGCGGATGGTTTACTTCTGACTTTTATTCTGTCCCTCTCTCTCTAATCATGCCTCACTTGCCGCTTATGTGGGGACGACGAGCGTGGCCGTCGAGTGCTCGACGGCGCGTTCAGTTCGATCCTAAACTCTGAATAAATTAAATAGCACGTGACAAAAACTTACTCAAAATTAGGTCTACAGTACCGGTCGGCGGTGAACGGAAATCAGCATGCAGAGCGTATATCAACGACAAGAATAAAGAGTTTTTTCGGGCCACGGCCATTATTTGAGGTTGCCAAATTAGTTTCCATGCGATTCAGACCTGTAAAAGTGGTTCATTTAAGTGACTTCATTCCTTTGAATAAACACATGATGTGATTTCGTTACATTTGTAAAGCTACAGTACCGTTCTCACTGGTCTAATTCTGGAAAAGGGTCAATTCTGGACAATATATTTTTGAGTACCCCGCCTTCGAACCTCTTTATCTCTCTCACACACCCCTCCCCCATCCTTCAATGCCTACCGCCCCTCTCCCAACTCCCTCATGCTTCCGTAGACAATGCTCCTGATCGGTGGTGCGAACATGCCGAGCTCCATGTGCTCTCAAACTATCGCACATAACAAAGGGATTGGTAAAAGAAAAGATGAGCGTATCAGACGGGACAAAGCATTACAGCTCCTGCAGCGCAGCATCTCTCCAAGGGAAGTGTCCACTCGAAGTGGTGTCACTCGCACGACAGTGTATAATATTCGAAAGGCTATCATAGATGGGGACACGCAACAGCTCGCAAAACTGCTCGATCCGGAAAAACACTTCGCAGGCCGTCGCACAGTTCTCACAAGTGCTGAGCAGAGTCTTGTCGTTCACAAGACTCTCGAAGAAGCTGAGAAAGGTTTTGCCGTTGGCTGTTCTCTAATGAAGAGCATTCAGGGCAAGATATCGACAGGAAGAGAAAATGCATTCTCCAACCGCGTCCAATCCTCCGACGCCGTACGCTCATTCAGAGCACGACATAGAGAATTGGCCTATAGGGCATCCCAGAACGTTTCCATGGCAAGGCTAGCGGCAGAGAATTCAACACATATGGGCAGTCTGAAGGAAGTTATTTTGAAACTTCAGAAAGAGTTCCCAGAGGTCCTCAGAGACCCTCACAAAATATGGAACTGGGATGAAACCGCTGTATGCGGTGAGTACGGTCGTAACGTCAAGTGCTTCACCTCGTCCAGCAGCAAGCAGGGCGGTGCTCGCTTGCGCATTAGGGATCCCGGTAAGCACTTGACAGCAGGACTTGCTGTCGCAGCATGTGGCAACATAGTGCCCCTTTTTTTGATAGTCTCTGGTAAGAAAGTCATGAAATCATGGCGTAGGCCTCTCGATAGGGAGGACTTCACTAATATGAATGGTGTAGTACACTGGTTGTGCAACGAAAAATGGTTTCCTCATGACGCAGAGCTTGTTGTTACACCACACGGCTCAATCGACAAAGCCGTAATTGTCAAAGTTATTCATCATATCAATCCACATGCGCGAAAACAGTACCATTCCATGAGCATATCCTTCTCCTATTAGACGGACACAGTTCTAGACAGGGCGATGTATGGCTCGAAGAATGCGAGAAGCTTCGAATTTTGGTGGTCAAGTTGCCTGCTAATACAACCCCTCTGTTGCAGCCGTGCGACCAGTCTGTGAATAGAATTTTTCAAAAAACGGTTCGGTCTACACGGGATGAGCTCCTGATGATCAGCCACATGACGTGGGCAAACTCTGCTTTTAAGATAAAGCTCGCTGTGGCGGGTTATCGCGCGTTCACTCCAGAGATTGCCAGGAAGGCATTTTATGGGTCTGGATTATGGCCAATGGATTTTAGGTTTCTTGACCGAATTGCGCCTCGTCAAGTCAGTGATAACCTCAAAGGACCTTTGTGCAGTAGTGTGAACACACGAAGTAGTCGGGCAGTTCGTGATTCTCATTTGGGAGAATCAGGTTAGAAATGAATTGTGCGCCTTGCTAGACAGAATTAGACAATTATCAAACGGCCCTGGCTCGGCCAGTAATACACTAGAAGAGATACAGGTACTATTGAACGACGAGCTCAATGTCAACAGACTGCTTGATTCGCAGGTCTCTCCACCCAAGCTTGCAAAGACTTCACAACGTGGTCGTAAAGTCAATGCACGCATGGCCGGAGCCCAGAGTCTTCAAGCAAGGTCAGAAAAAGGGACCCCAAAGCGAAGACTTGAGAGTGTCTTCAATTCTGAAAACGCCATTGAACAGAGCACTCCGATACCTATCACAGGGACCAAATTTGAAGGGAACAAAGAAAACCGTTGTCCAGGTGAGGACGGTGTTTCGTGCAAAGGCTGATTGACTTAAAGGGAGACGTTTTGGATGATATTCCAATTGCGTCATGGCGCCAAGTCCGAAGAAGTAGCAATATCGGCGGGCAAGGGTGTGTTGAAGACGAGAGAACGGAAGTGGCAGCCTCAGGCCTCGTCGGTTTGTCTCACTATCGATAAGAGTGCTCAACTCCCTGTCCAGAATTGACCCCTTTTCCCATTTTCCGTCTGTTGACGAGCTCAGGAATGGCAAAAAAACCTTGGTCTGATTGGTAAAAACGTTGATTTTTGCACTTCTGGAAAGTGTCCAGAATTAAACCAGTGAGAACGGTACTGTATACGCGCGCTTTATGTGTTTATTGAGGGCCATTCCATTCATCGTGATTGGCAATCACGCAATCACGCAATCACGTCAATAAATGGTGGCTGCTCCCTTGTGGTTGGTTGTTTATATTAAGTTTCCTAAAAAATGGTCATGCTCATTAAAGAAATAAACAATCGACTTAAAATTAATCTTGTGCTCCAACTTGCAGAAAGACGTTAAATTAATGGCGTGATCGCGTGATTGCGTGATTGCAGGATTGCCAATCACGATGAATGGAATGGCCCTGAGCTTTAAAATGTCAAAATCGGTGAAGGACTGGGTAGGATACGGCCTTTTCACCAGACATGCCTAGAAAAAAAAAACGTCACTTTGCCACATTTTATCATGAACTCTTATGCCTGGCGCCTGGAGCAGGAGGGACACGTCCGAATCTGTGATTCAGATTTGGGCATTACAGAACGTTTTGATAGGAACATGAGGCAACTGATTTAGGATATCTGTAATTCTTTTTACAAATTCACGCCTACGGATCGCACCGACTGCTTCCACTGCCGGACCCCTGCCGGACCCCTGCCGGACCCCTGCCGGACCCCTGCCGGACCCCTGCCGGCCGCCTGCCTGGAACCCCCTCCCCTGTCCTCGTCCGGCCCGTCTTGCTGGCGTTGGCACCAACGCTTCTGAATCCGGGGACATTCCGCCACCAAGCGCGTGCGGGCAATCATTGCCCGGCCGTCCCTGTGTTGGGGTCTCTCGGCGACCTGCGCCATCTCTGCCGGGTTGGCGGCACTGAATGGCTTGCGATAGTCGCGCGTCACTTTGCATGTGGGCGAGCTTTCTATCTTGTCCATCAAAGCTCGCAGACCGGTTCTCGCCGCGACGGTGTCCAACAAGTCCACCTGCCCACTCGGCGCATGACTCGACTTGGGGGGACCTTCAGGCGGGGTACGTGCCCTCCGGGGTACGTGCCCTCCGCGAGGGTACCGTACTCGTATCGCCCTACGGCTTTCGTTGCAGTACTGTACTGTATTACCGATGGACTGGACAAGCCCCTGGAGTACAGCACTGTATCATACGCCTCCCTGGAGTCCCTTGCAGCTCTCGTTGCTGGCGTAGAATTCTTGTCAGAGTCGCGATCAGGAGAATAGGTCCTGCGCGGTCATCCGCTCCGAGACGTCTGGCCCTGGCCCCGTCTCATTTTTGCCCCTGGTGTTGGGTCCATGACTCAGCTCGCCTGGTATGCCGTGTTGTAGCGCATTTTTAATCGTTTAAATATCATTGGTGCGCCACTGCCAACAGTGGACGAAGCATGATGGAATCGCTACGGGAAATACCTGTCACTGTAAGTCCAGTTATGCTTGTGACCACGTCTTTCCAAAACTTGCACGGACGTTTATAGTTTCGCCTAAAATTTCCGCAAACGTTTTAATGCGAGGGTGCACGTCTCCAGAATGTTTCTGAGTTTCGCAGAAAAAGTTGCTCAAACTTTCGGCAGCACTTTGGGAACCTTTGAAACTTCAGAAACATTCATCAACCTTTTCAAAGATGCCGGATCGCATTACAGCTCCGATCGAGGGTGGATGGAAATATTCCATCATTGAGGCCTTGCTTGCAGGATCCAACAAGGTCCACCACCGGGACCAATGGGAGTGCCGTTTGAGGCGAATATCAGAAAAATCAATTGTCAACCAGGATTTTACGGAGCCATGAGCCCTGGTAGTTGGGACCAAAGTTGTATGGCTCTGGGTCACAGGCTCTGGGTCACAGGCTCTGGTACCCAGGGCCATTATTGGGACGTATTCTCCTGAATGCGACTCTGTCAGTGCGTCGCGAGAGCAGCCTTACTGAACTCACGATGTGCCAACACCGCAGCAACAATCCGCACCACTGCCGCTCTCTCCTTTGAGGAATGTAGGAAATCACTCCAGACTTCACTCTCAATCGGGCACTTGCCGTAAAATAGCTGTGGGCCATTGGATGTCCTGCATTTATTCGAATGCGAAGGGTGGAAGCAAACCTTTCCCGCCCTCTGCGAGAAGACCAAGAACGAAAAACGACTACCCTTGGGTAACGACTGACAACGACAAGAGAGAAAAAAGAGATTCCGAGAGAGAGAGAGATATAGAGAAGAGCAAGCGCCGCTTTGCTACCGCCGCCTATTCAAATCCGAACAACACCCCCTATTCGCAAGCACCATGGCTGATCCATACAGTATCTTGGGCCTCACTGGCCCGGCTGAGCAAGTCGTCCGCCTTATCGCAAGCCTCATCGAACGACACAAAGCCTACAAGGAAAACAAAACGCTGTCTACGGAAGTGCTCACTGCCTACACTACCTTGCAGGCAGACATCACGGAGCTTGAAAACATGCCGATCTATGGAACGTCGTCGCAGCACACGCGCTTGCTCCAACGTGAAATCGACGGCATCTCTAGCTTCATACTGAAGTCCCTCGCTGAGCTGCAGAAAGAGTTGGACGACCCAAAAGCGAGACTCGGTGCGTTCGCCTCTGCAATGGGAGATAGAGAAGTCCTAGAGAAGCGAAAGCAAGAAGCGGACCGCCTTCACAAACGTATTGTACAAGCAAGCACGGGCATCGATACTCGCACGGCCGTCGAGTCGATCGGCATCGATACTCGCGCGACTCGCGCGGCCGTCGAGTCGATCAGACGAGGCACGGGTAATATGTTCAGGGCGTCGATAAGAGCCGAACATAATCCTGCGTCGATATGTGTGAAGCTTGATTCTCGGGGGAGCGATGGATTACCAAACACGTGTGAGTCGCGTCTAAAAGCGGCTGTGCTACGGAGAGATAGGAACAAGCAAGTGGGTGCGACAGCAGTGGGACAGGGCGGAGTCGGGAAGACATGTGCTCTACGAGCGATCGCGCACGATGTTGAGATTATGGCAGAGTTCTCGGGAGGAGTGTACTTCATGTCGTTGGGGAAAGATGGAAACGTGGGACGGCTGATTGAAGAACTGTGTCTGATTGTGGAAGCGTCCGGTGGGAACCAGACGGCTGTGGAAATGCGAGAGCAGAGCGAGTTTGAAAGGGTGTTAGCGAAGGTACAAGCGTGGTTTTGTAGTCATGTGTGCCTGTTCATCATTGATGATGTGTGGGTGGTGAATGATATAGACGCGAATATCCTTCAAAAGTTGTCTGTTCTGGCTGAGACTGCGGGGGGCAGCGGGGGAAGGAGGAGCAGACTACTGTACTCCACGAGGGATAAGGAGCTGCGTCAGATTGGGGAGCGGGTTGCTTTCGAGCCTAGGGAGAAGGTAGGGAAAGAAGCAGTTGAGATGCTTGTGCACGCGAGTGAGGCAAATGGAGAGGAAGTGGATGATGCGAGATGCAAGGAAGCCGTGGGTGAAATACTGAAAATGTGTGGCGGATTGCCGCTTGCGCTGAACGTGGCGGGAACGAGCGTGAGGTACATGAGGGAAAGATGGGAGGGAGAAGTAACAGAAGCATGGGGGGCGTACCTTTCGAGGATGAAGAGTCGTAACACGATTCGCGGGGAGAGTCCGAAGGACGGATATTCGTCGTTGGATGGGACATTGCATACGTCTCTAGATATCCTGGAGGCCGATGTGGGAAGGAGTGGGGAGACAGTTGGTGAATTTTCGTTTCGAAAAATGCACCGGAGTCTGTGCGTTATGAAGAAGCAAGACCGGATACCTTTGGGTTTGGTTGGAGATTTGTGGGAGATGGACGAGGAGCGGACGGAAAGGTGTGCAAAGGAGATGGAAAGGGTTGGACTAGTAGAAGTGCAGTATGAGAAGGATTGTGGTGGGTTGCGGGTGCATGATCTGACGCACGATTTCGCGGTGGAAGAAGCGAAGAAGAAGGAGGGTGTAGAAGAGTGGTATAAGAACATGGCGCATGTGTGCAGGGCAGGAGAAGGGTTGCTTGCGATGAGTGAGGACCGAGACGGAGAGGGGAAGAGCGCACGGGAGGAGTATGTTTTCGAGAATATATATCGTGTTTTGAAACAGGGTGGGTGTGTAGAGGATCTGAAGAGGCTATTTTTGAGTGCGCGATGGGTGAAGACAGTGATACGGAGAGGCGGGGTTTGGCAATACGAGGAAGCTGTGAAGGGTTTGAGTAGAGACTTGAAGGGGAAAAGAGGAAGCGGGAAGGTGGGAATGGGACGGGCAGATAAGGATGCAGTGGATGGAATGGTTTTGATGATGCGGGCGGCGCGACTGAGTGTACCGTTTTGTGGTGAAAACAGTGCCGGGATTTACTTTCAACTATATGGGCGAGTGAAGCACAAGGCACGGGATTCAAGTTGTGTGCGAAAAATGCTGGAGGAAATTGAGAGATACGCACCACGGCCGTGGGTGCGGCCTGTGAGTGAGTGTGTAGCGCGAGCCGATGGAAAGATGGTGGAGCAGATTGTTCTGCCAAATTTCGGTACTAGAATTCAAGTGGGCATGGATTCCAGTGGTGAAGTGTATGGATGTCAAGTGGAGCGGTTCGGGGCAAAAGTAACAGTTTTCACGCAATCTGCTGAGAAGGAGACGAAGATGGTTGAATTAGAAGGCGAGTTCGAAACGGAGAGCCAGAGCCAGGGCCCAGGGGATCTTGAAGCAAGCAGTCAATTAGAAGGCGAGTTCGAAACGGAGAGCCAGAGCCAGGGCCCAGGGGATCTTGAAGCAAGCAGGCGCAAAATGTGTCGACGACAAGAGCCACCTGCGCAACTCTCTGTGAGAGGAAGGAGAATGTTGTTGTGGGATATGAAGACGGGACGTTAAGGCTGTGGAGCGTGACTGCAGAAAACCCGAGCGTGACAAGAGCCATCTGCGCAACTCTCTGTGAGAGGAAGGAGAATGTTGTTGTGGGATATGAAGACGGGACGTTAAGGCTGTGGAGTACGTCGGAGAGGAAAGTATTGAGAATTTTCCGCGGTCACAAGTCGAGAGTGATTTGTGTTGCGATGAGTGGGGACGGAAGACGTGTGGTATCTGGATCCCGGGACAAGAGCGTGCGGGTGTGGGACGTGGAGACGGGAGCACAAGTCGGGGAGGCGTTAGTTGGACACACGGCTTGGGTGTTTAGCGTTGCGATGAGTGGGGACGGAAGACGTGTGGTATCTGGATCCCGGGACAAGAGCGTGCGGGTGTGGGACGTGGAGACGGGAGCACAAGTCGGGGAGGCGTTAGTTGGACACACGGCTTCTGTGTTAAGCGTTGCGATGAGTGGGGACGGAAGACGTGTGGTATCTGGATCCCGGGACAAGAGCGTGCGGGTGTGGGACGTGGAGACGGGAGCACAAGTCGGGGAGGCGTTAGTTGGACACACGGATCGGGCGGGTAGCGTTGCGATGAGTGGGGACGGAAGACGTGTGGTATCTGGATCGTGGGACAAGAGCGTGCGGGTGTGGGACGTGGAGACGGGAGCACAAGTCGGGGAGGCGTTAGTTGGACACACGGATTCGGTGTGGAGCGTTGCGATGAGTGAGGACGGAAGACGTGTGGTATCTGGATCTCGGGACAAGAGCGTGCGGGTGTTGGACGTGGAGACGGGAGCACAAGTCGGGGAGGCGTTAGTTGGACACACGCATTCGGTGGGTAGCGTTGCGATGAGTGGGGACGGAAGACGTGTGGTATCTGGATCGGTTGACGAGAGCGTGCGGGTGTGGGACGTGGAGACGGGAGCACAAGTCGGGGAGGCGTTAGTTGGACACACGCATTTGGTGTGGAGCGTTGCGATGAGTGGGGACGGAAGACGTGTGGTATCTGGATCGTATGACGGGAGCGTGCGGGTGTGGGACGTGGAGAGAGGGATCACACTTCATACCGGGTGGGAAGAGGATTGGGAAGAAATCACGGCTCGGTTCCTGAAGACGGCAGACTTTGGTACTGCTTCCCGCGCAGGACGAACATCACAAATATTTGCAAGGGAGGGAAGAATTGTGCAAAGGCGAGAGGATGGGTCTGAGGCTGTCTTGGCCCAGTTGGAGAGTTACGTAGATTACGTATACCTGCAAGAAGCAAACTTGCAGGTAGACCACGATCACGGGGTCGCAGTTGCAGGGGCGGGCCATCTGGTTGCTATCATGAAGCTAGTGGTGTAAGCTAGTGGTGTAAGTAAGTACCGAAGTGCGATGGCCGCTTGCCGCCCGTGACAGTCGTAGTGCGTTGAGGGTTTTATGCTTTGTTTTTGATTTGTGAATGCGTGAGAAGCTCGCCTCACGGACGTTGCAATCCATTTATGTGTCCATGTATGTGTATGTATGAACTAGCGACCTGCTTCCGTTCATCGTGCGCTCTTGTGCTCAATTTAATATCTTGTGCAATGCAATGATGTGCAGGCAGCTGGCCATTAGTTGCGGGCAAGTGAAGATAAAGGTATTCGTGAATGAACGGTGTGTTGAGAAGCGTTGCAGACCGGGTCAAAGCGGGGGCCAATCTCACTTTGAAGAGGCGATGGGTACGCGTGCACAGGTTTCCACGCGCACAGGTCCACACGTGTGAGAAGACAAGTGGCAAACGAGGCCAACTTTTTAAACGAGGCCAACTTTTTTCCTCAATTTTTACCATAAATTTCAATTTTACTAAACATTTGGGCCTCTCCCTTTACGGAGCGTCAGCGTCGTCACTCACTCCAATTACGAACACCGCCCTTGCAAGGGGCATCGGTTACTGTGAGAGAAAAGCACTGGGCAAAAGGGAAAAGTGTCCTGGCCGGCACAGGTAACACAAGCGGCCTCCAGTGACAGACCGACCGCGATAAGCTGTCTGCTCACAGCCAGCAGCGAGACGGATAAGCGAGACGGATAAGTAGGAGCGAGAGTAGAAAGGACGAAAGATGTTCTATGAGTTTGTCTAGCCTGCGCCCCGCCGCCGCCACGCTCCGCCAGCGGCGACAACAGCGCGCCCCAGCTCTCGATCCCGCTGCTGCTGCCGCCGCTCATCCTCGCGCGCTGCCGGTGCCAGAGAGGGGGGCGGGAAGGGCGGGGCGGGGCGGGGGGGGGGGAGGGGGAGGGGGATGCTCGCCCGCAGATCGCGGTGCGGCGCGCCGCGGCCCCGATGTTTGTGCACACCGCCCGGGCGCGCGCAAGCAAAGCCGGGTCGCGGCGGGGAAGCGTCCGCCACGCGACTAGAACGCGGCGGGGTCTCGAGCGCTGTCCATACGTGCGGCGGCGACGGGCGCGCGCGCGCGCAAGGGAGAGCGGGGGAAGGGGGAGGGAAGCACAGCGCGTCGGGGTGAGGGCGCGCGCAACGGCGGCGGCGACGCTTATTCGGACGCACGCGCTTTGAAAGGGATGCGCGCATTGCTGCGCACGAGCGGGAAGCAGGGCGGCATGGTGCTTGCGCTGCGAGTCGCGCGTGGTTTGAACGGCAAGCGTTTGCGGGCGGAGCTGCAGCCATGCTACGTGCGGCGTAGAAGACGCACGGCGGCGCGATTTGCGCCAACCCGCCGGCACGCGCCATCCGCCCGCACCTCAGCGACTGCGACCGGCCGTGCCCCGCGTGGGGCGCGCCGAAATAAGCACGTGGAGAGAGGGCGCAGTTACGCGCGGCGGACGGCGGACGGCGGACGGCGGCCCGGGTAAGCTAAAATGGGGCTTGAATCTGCAGCAGTCGCGCGGGGAGGCCTTGGCGCGCAACAGGTGGCCGCGCGCCCGTTTTGATCGCGCGCCCCCGCCGGGCGGTCGAGAGGCTTGATGGGGGCGATGCCTTCCAGGCAGGCCGTCACTTTACTCGGCGGCGAAACGCACGGTAACGGGGCCATGCTCACCACCCGCAGCGACCCTCACTCCACGTTGAGGCTTGCAACACGTGGTCATTGTGGGCGAGGGAAGGAAGCTCATTTCTTCAGGCACAACATCAGTGTCGTCGGAATATGGCGGAAGCAAGCGACGCTCGCACTTGATCGACTACTCGGCGAAAGCCACAAATGTGCTGGAAGGGGATCATCGTTGCGGAATAGTAATTCAAATATGTTTTTTAGGTTTGCAGTCGCCCGAATGTTGCCACTCTTTATTTCCACAGCAATGGCACCACCACTTGAATTTGCACGCCTACGCAGTAGCGTATACTCCACTCACTTCGACAGCGATAACAGTTCGGTAACTATTTTGGCAAATATAAACTATTTTGGCGACGCACTGCTTCCCCTTTTTGCCGCACTTTTCCGAAACCGAGTCACCCAGATCCGCCCCTGTGACAATACCCAGACACGTGCACACATAGCACACGTACCACACGCACAGGCTCACACCCGCCGGCGTGAGACCAGTAGACTTAGTGTTGAGAGAGCAGGCCCAGACAGTAAAGACTGCCCCATCGTTCCTGCACTACATTCTCACCATACACTATTCATTGCACGTTAATTAAAAAATTGTGCAAGTCTTTTGAGAACAACAACGTCATCATAGAAGCATCTTTGTTTCTACATATTCTTTTTACTCTTAACACACTTGACCAACAACCCTTAAATAGTCGAGCCTAAACAAAACCCAGCAGTTGTCCATCTTACAGCCAACACTTTTTTGGTGCACATACCCATCACTTTCATATTTTTAATTTCAGCTTTTTATCTCTCATGTACCTTTTAAACACCTCACAGTGTTTCCTATACAAATGCATATTCTCCATCTCTATCTCATTTAATAAAAAACGTGCAAGCGAAAACACCACATGCAAAATACATCACACCGCAACTCACCTTGAACGACTTCTTTTTCTATTCCCTGCAACCGTACTCCTCATTCGTCTCTTAATGAGTCTACTAATTCTATGAATACACAATCTCATCCAATCTCTTTCATCGTTTTCAAGCCCCACTCCACAAACAAAGCTTCGCCGAGAAGTCGACCGCTGAAAAATATAGCCCTCCGTAAAAAGAAATAGAACCAGCTACCCAATCCCGTATTTAGTAACATTTCCAAATATGGTGTATTCTGTGCAACGTGCCGCCAAGTGCTATTTTTCATCCCCTGTTTCACTAGAATTGCCAAATTTGTGAATAAAGCCCTGCGGTCAGATCAGCTGTTTTCAAATTGACGAAAATACTTTTGGCCATACGAAGATATACACGGCTGTCATCCGCAAAAATGTCATTACATTTGCTCTTACGCTGCAGTTCCAAAACGGGCAACTCAAACAGAGTCCTACATTATGTGGTCGTCAGGATTAGCTCAACGCGAGAGATGTGATACAACTCGAAAGGGATGAGACAAACCGGCCGTACTTAAAGGAAAAAAAGCAGGAGCAGCATCATCAAATATCTTTTCAACACCTCGTACCCATACATTCTTAATTCATACACATGCTCTCAACTCCGTAAAAAACAGCTCTGAATCATAAAGTATCATGCATTTTAATAACAGCGATTTGCAACAAAGGCCCAGCCCTGAAACCGGAACGAAGAGCATTCTTTTAGACGTCGATGTAAACAACGTTACAACTCAAGAATCAAGTGCACAGGACAGCGATGTGAGCTGCTCAACGGACTCGGATAGTGATGAGGCGACAGTGAAAAGGGGACCTATTACTCGGATTGGAGTCAAAAGTTTCTCAACAATCGCGCGGTGGTCATGGAAAGAAAGTGTGCAAGTCTGCGCCATCTGCAGGAGTGCCCTTCTCGACATGTGCAATGCATGCGAAGGAGGGGGCATGATGAACCCGACTCTGTGTCAGTCTGTAAAGGGGCCATGCGATCACAGTTTTCATTTTCATTGCATTCAGCGATGGCTGGTGGAGAACAGACCACATTGTCCCCTTTGCAACGGCCCCTGGCCAGCATATAGTGAATCGCATACGAGTTTAGAAGCGGTGAGTTCCGAAATGTGGGACGAGCAGGAAGACGGGCAAATTATGCCTCTTCCATTTGAATAAAGATCATGTGCGTATATCTATTTATTCGTCCCTTGGCTTGGCATAGTGAGGGTCCCACTACTCTTTCCGTTTTGATCCTTTTCCTTCGTAAGGGCGAATTGCAGACTTGAAGATCCAAACGGGGATATCACACTGCTCATGTAATATCACATTGCTCATGAAACCCATTCCGTGTCTTATTGAGGGATGGGAGACATGAGAAATTGCGAAATGAAAAACTCCCAGCTCTCTAAGCGCAGCACATTCGAGAAGCCTTATCAAAACGTCTGCAGTTATCTAAATCGGATGAGTGCACCCAACCCAAAATTGACGAAACACATACAACATGTAGTTAATGCCGATCCAAGTGGCTTCATCAACAAGCCCTCGTTGATACAAAGTGATTTCACCTGCCCCAATGGCATTGGTAACAACTCAACACCCATTTAGACTCTAAGAGTAATTGACACTAACAGTCGTGCACATAATTGCACGAAAATACATAATTAAACAAGCGGGTTTCAGGGCCTTGGGCAAAGCATTCCTGCCTGTAGCCGACCGCGCTCCGCTATCCCCGGCATTTGGACATGTGCAAGTAGCACAGTATTGCACTGTGCTGTATAGATGTTCCAGCTTTATGGATTTCAGAGTCAACTGTCGGCACTGTCGGTAATGTTAGATGCTGACAAAAAACCGCAGGCGTTAACAGCCATCGGGGGAACAGTAGGATTTAGGTAGACCAATGTTCCTCATCACGTAAAGAGAGATATCGACAACTCTCACGACCACCTTTTACCGAACTTTTCACTCCGCCCGACGTGCGGATACTGGAGCCGCCACACTGCCTCACTGTAACGCCCTGCGCTCACGACGATAGCTAGAGAGCGAGATGTCTACGGCACGATGCCTTGGGGCGTAGCAGGGCTGGCCTCGTAGCGCGAGCCTGCCGCAGAGGTGAGTGGACAGCCGCCTCTGAGACTGCGATTCCGGGTGCGTAGCCTTTGTAAGAGCTAGCGTCTATGCGCACCCGTACCCCGCTGGGTACTGTAAGTACTTCATGGGCCTACCGCCGAGCGAAAAGCCCCACTGCAGCACAGCAGTGATCCTGGTCTATCTGACCAGGAGGTGTGTAGGGCGCAGCGCAACTGTCGTCGCCTGACAGGGACGACACCTGGCGGAGAGTGCGGATTGCCGCACCCGTTCGGGTTTTGTAAATAAAGGCAGCATGCTGCGTTGGGATCCGGGGAACCCGGGGAGACGCACACGTTGACTTTGCCCATTCTATTGCCTTCCGATAGATACATCCCTCCTTTACTCTGAGCGCCGCGAGCGCCCTGTCCGACGTAGAAG